TAAATCTTCAAAACTTGTATAAAAGTGTCTTTATTTTAACAAATTTCAATTGTGTGACCTTGAACAGAGGTCAAGTTCAACAATGTTAACCAAACTGATACAAATTGACATGAACAACCACCTTGTCAAATAGCAAGACCTACAGACTTTTGGTTATGAAGCTGGCACTATTTAACTCAAATGAAAAAAATCAGTGTTTCTTGGTTTTTTAAGCAAATGTGTAAAACGACAAATTTACCGGTTTTCATTTTGCCAAGGTTTCGGAAGTATGAAAATTGAAGTGTCTAACAGTACTTTTCTCAAAAGTAATGGCTTTTTATATGATTTTTGGCTGCATTTTGCAGTACAATGTGCTCATATTATTGACGTAATTCTATTGGAATTGCCTCATAATAATGCACTAGAAGGAATTACATAACAGCTACCTTAACACCACACCTAGGTATCAGTCAAGGAGCTCCCATTTTATGAGAAATCAATTCCGAAGACTTTTCCGTACGTAAGCTTCGGATACCCACATCTGTTTATGGTTATCATATTTTGAAATTCCAAGTGGGGGTCGATGTTAATGTTAAATTCCCATATATGTCGACCCCACCTTTTACATTTCTACCTTGTTACATTTTGAAACTTTGAGTTTAATTTAGAAATTAGATAATTTTCCTTGAATAGAGATTTCCCTAAAATCGACTTTCCATATTCATCATAGTCATTTTCTTTGAAAAAGATGTATTTTCTTAAGGGATGGATGTTATCCTGACAAGGCGTCTTCAAAAACATATGCCAACATGGTTACGGAATCGTACTTCAAACATAAATTCGGTGAAACTAGGACAAAATATAAACAAAGATAAAGACTGACAGGGAGACCCCTCACATACTGCAAACATAATAAGACCAGGTATTACACTGTTGTTTATTAGAATTCTCGCCTTTTGCTGCGGAGGAAGATATATAAATGTATCCCCTCCTCCTTTTTTATCGGGCATTAAAGACGTATGCAAATATAACACGGTCTTTAAAAAGTGAACACAGCTGTGTGGAAATTCATTCTTGTGTGTTCAGACCTCCAAACACGATTGAGTGTATATTTGATCCGTAACGCCGTAACAAAATATTCTGATATTTCTGTAGTGACCGACCATGATAACCAGCTACATACGAGCAGGTTAGTATCTCGACTAAAAAGCTTAAGTATTGAGTGATATTGTGAGGAATGTTGTTGCAACAGGTTCTTGTATCGTTTGGTAAATTTTATCCCGTTCACGGTCATCTGAAGATTCTTCATTTTCAATTTTAAAAAATATTATCACTAAGTTTTCTGCATTTCACATTCTTTTTTAAATTACGTGTCCTCCCTTTTCTTAATTAGAATTTAACTGTTATTTGAAATCTATTTTAGAGTTTTCCTTCGATGCAATCGTCACTATCCAACTGTAAAACGTTTGGTTTTTGCCATTTCGATATCTACACGACACGACGTAAATATGTCATGAATGCGTCGTGAAACAAGGTATTAAACACAATACTATAGTTACTGCTACACACTATTAGGTTTTCATTGTCAAAACTATGTTTGAACGAAGTAATGTATTCTTTAAATTTATTCTAAATTGTAATTTCTTGCACGCCAGTGGTTTTGTGCTAAATAAAGGGGCATTATCCTTTAATTATCTGCATTCGTTCCGTTTCTAATGACTGAAATATACTGGTTAATAACCACTTTGTCGAATATGATGGTAAGATCTTTGAATAGACTATTGGCATACATGTTGGAGCTTATTATCACTCTGATAAGTGTAATGACTTGAATTTCTCTATTGTAAATTTTCCATTTCCTGCGTTCCAAGCCTAGGGTGTTTAAATATCGCACTATATCATGCATTAGGTCGTCAGTAGACGAACAAACTCGTAACAAAAGATTTCTAAAGATGCAAGTTGTTGACAAATATTGGGAAGCTTTAAGTCGTCATAGTCATTGATGCGATATATTTTACACGATATGAAACTGAAATGCTCGTTAGTTTGCGTGTTGGTTTCTTTGTTTTGTTATATACTTTGTTCACATTTGAGAGCGTGACATTAATCACATGAATTGAGTAAGATTTACTCTCATATCAACTAATCAGTATAGACATAATTCCTCAATACTTGTGTGCTGATTTCTTCATAGAACGTCAGAATAATGTTGATAATTGCAAAATCACACACATTCTAATATATGTCGTCTTCAGGACAATATATCAGCATAGGTGTTTGAAGTTGATGAGAGATATTAATCCGCTTGACGAAAAACACTTGTGAAGTTAAGTGGCCCTAACAAGTCAGCTTGGTATGTTTTCGTTGGGTAGAAATCAATGATTCTAAGGATGTGCAAAATAAAGTGTGGAAGAACACATAAGAAGAAAGAAGGCTTTTTATCATTTGATAACAATTCTGATAACATGTCTGTTGCCGTAGACGGCCTTTGGTAGTTCAGAATCAACCTGTCTTGTAAATGTTCAGTGATGTTAGCAGTCACATGTAATGAATTAGAATTGAGTTTGCTATACTCCTTGACGCAGGTGCTTCAATTACATACACATCATAATCAATCATTCCACGAAGACTTCAGTAACGTATTTATTTTGGGAAAGTTTAAGCCATCATATTGATGCCAGAATATCGGCCTCCTCAAGTATTCAATTTCGTACAACAAATATGTTTCTATAAATGTCAAAATTTCTTAATTAGTCTATAGCCTTACTAGTACTTGTGACCTTTTGTTTGACACCAACACCAAGTATGACTGAGCATGTGCAGAAAAACGTAATTCTACCCAGGTAGACACTAATGGAGAAGACACCAAACACCCTTGTTGAGAGTACGTCAATAGTCTGATCTTATCAGAAAACTCTGTACATGGTGTACCCTAAAAGGTCAACACCCAGTAACTAACAACTTCTAAAAGTAAACTGTTATTCAAACTGTAGAGTTGTATCGTCCTTTTGGGACTTATAAGCGATGTCAAAGGCTTAATTCTTGAAACCTCGAAGGAAACTGAGGAAAACCGAAATTGATCGGAACAACGGTCAAAATCTATTTAGATGAGGAGATTCACTAACCTTATAAAATTCGGAATTTTTATATCCGCTAATTTCAGAAGACTTTCCAGTACATGTGAGTATTCTGAATCCTGAATCACATTACCATTTAAATTATTTAAAACGTGGTATGCAAGTTATGGCAAACATCGGGGACTTGAAGAAAACTAGCCTGTCTGCCTACTTAGGAACGACAGGGTTTCAAAATAAGTGTGGATTAGTTGCAGAGATTCACCAGAGTGAGTCCCAGTAAGAGACTGATGTCAACCAACACCATTGTGTATTGTGGAGGTGTGTAGACAGAGCTATAAAACACATTGTAACCTTGATATGTATAAAGGTATACAAACACGATAATGTAACCTAGATAAAGCTGTACGAATCTATATACCTATATACAATATATGCACAAAACAAAACAATTGCGCGTCGGAACACAAAGGTACACCAAGATGTAACGTATATACAAAATCAACTATTTTATTCATAAGAAAAAACCCTCCAGATTCCAAGTAAACCAACGTTTATTTAATGAGTAAAACAGTCCTGATGCTGTTCCGAAGATGCTTCATATATACTTGTTCTAGATTTTACCAGTTCGTCACGTCTGGCCGAGTCCCTTTGTCCTTATCTATATTACGAACAACGTGGTTTATCTACAAGCCCTGTCTTTCTGTGGACACTAGATGTATGAAAGGTCAGTCTCGCGTTCATGTTTTAATGTGTTCATTTAGATATCGATATTTTCCTCTGATTTGTCTTCAGTTCACATGCTGGCATCAATTTCATCATTACAATTAGATTAATAGCTGAATTGATGTAATTCGCATGCTTTCTGTTTAATGTCAAACGGTTTTCGAGCAAATATTAATAGTTGTTCTATAAGAACTTTAATGCAATATATATATGACTTTTTTAATATCGCAGTGGTAAAAAGATTGTATTCGGTAAATAGACAACAAATTTCATTTGATTAATTCGACAATAGGTGAATGATCTCCATGCTATAGAAATAAGTACAGATGTGAGGTCGACCTTGTCCATCTTCAGATGTGTCCTGTATATATAGTACACAATTTCGTATAATATGATGAACAATAACCAGCCCAGTGCATAGCATTCAACCATTTACATTAAACATGTTATTAATCTGCATTGAGTTAAAACTTAACAGAGATCATTGCCAAACCGAAAACTACTCTTTGAAACAGTGCACATATTCTAAATTTTAGAATATCTTAAAGCTAATTGTTTACCGAGATTTGATGACCACTTTTTCATACGCCCGTCGAAAGACGGGACGTATTATGTTTTCACGCAGGCGGGCGGGCGGCCGCATATAGGTTTCCGTTCGATAACTTGAATTATTTTTTACAGGTTAATTTGAAACTTCACATGAAGGTTTATTACCATAAAGCCAGGCAAAGTTCGATAACCATAATTTTTTGCCCATTATTTACAGAGTTATGGCCCTTGATACTTTTGCAAAATAGGTTTCCCCTTAATTACTTGAGTAATTTTTCATTAATCCTTCCTACGAATCAAAAATATCCTTTGCTGCAAATCGCCGAAGCAGTTTTTTCACAAACACCGTTAACTTTATAGAAATTCAGCAGATAATCTCGGAAATCAATCTTTCAACTTAAAAAGCAAATAAATTCGCCTGAAATTCATCCAGTTATGGTTGTTCAACTTAAGACGGGCGTATTTTGTAACGCTTACGGAACTCTTGTTATATATCGTTTGGTTTTTAGACCTTTCTCGTCTTCATTTTTATGGCACTAATGACCGTTAAGAATTGGCCGATGTCTTTTTTAGTGCTACAATTAACTGAGGATTCAATACGTAGCTCTGATTAAGAATAAACTGTTTGTGAATTAATCCTTTTTATTGATTCATCTTTTTTCTCTCTTTTAGATGTTGTTCTGGGTGGAAATCGTTCTTATTGCCGTCGGTGTCGATTGTTTCATCCCTGACCTGACTGGGCACACATCAAAACAAGTCTCCTGGGATTCAGGATACCATCCACCCCAGCTACCGTCTCTCCCTCGTAGCATGAACCACCTGTCCAACTGTCTAATATGTCCCTATATAGAAGGAGCCGGCGTGCTGTGCATTCATTTGACTGGCGAGTGTGACGTACACGAGAACCGATGTTTCAAGAGCTTAGCAGAGCCAAAGGTTTTCAATGGACGTCAATACAGCAAAATAGACTATGATGGACAGGTAAGGTATTGGTAAGACAGTAAGGGAAATCTGTTTACACCAGAAACAATAGATTAAAATATGCTAGAAAAGGAATAGATACCATGATAAACGACAAATTTCCTTTTTGGCAGACATTTGTTTTTATAGGTATATTTCTACGTACCCAGTTGTTGATCATGCCTTTATATAGTGTGTAGGTTCACGAATGTAACACAAACTGAGAGAACTATTTACATACGATAAACTCCCGAAAACTTTACATTGAGCAGTTGTTTCCTGTCACCCTCTTTAATGAAAAGTCGAGATAAAGCGACCTTTGTATGACAGAGGTGACAACTACAATTTTGTAGTTATTTTTCTAACATTCCGTTTCTCACTTTCTGCGGAGTATTTGACCTACATTGCCATAACAATTTCGGCTGTTTTCGACCCGATAAAGCATTCAGGGATTGTACACAAGACGCACAAGTAATATAACTGTTTTATATAAAGTAATGATTAGATATGTATTGTCATATAATGAATAAAGCTGCTTAATTGATTTATTTATAATCTAGCTCAGTCCTGCTGCATTATCCAATGTGTAACATTTGTGGGTATCTGGTTAAGTGTCTTGTACCCACAAACGTTATACACCAAATATTTTTGGCCAAAAGTATTCGGTCACAATGGCAGCGTGTTGACACTTTCAGTCGGTCTCGTGGATTAAGTCATTTCGCCCCATGTCATTCGCGTCACTTATGACCAAACAAAATATATTTAACTGTAGCTGATCACGTGACAAGTTGGGACGGGGCAGAAAGGCCGGGAACTTCAAATGGAAGTGAAAAACATGATCGTAGGCCTATTCCAAAGTGGATATTCTCGTCTGAACATTAGTCTTATATTGAAAATACCACATTATTGACGTGATTACGAATTCTTAGCTACCGAATCAGTGGCAAACAAACCTAGAAGTGGCAGGCCGATTTCTTTGAAAAATCGTGATTATCTAAATTTGGAAAGGATAGTGAAATAAAACCGGAGAGATTCTTTGAGTGATATTACACACAAATTTAGCCATAAAATGATTGTTCCTTCTTCTAAGCGCACGATTCAGCGACATTTACGAAACCATGGATATACCAGGCGTGTCGAGCAAAGAGACTTGCATTGTGCAGAGAAAAGAGAAGAAGGACTCAAACTGAATGGAAAAGGGTGACTTTCTCGGACGAAAGGAAAGGTGGTCGTCGGCCAAGAGAATCTTATGGAGAAAGAGGAGAGGCATGGCGACCGGACCTTGTTCAACCTCGATCGGCACAGACCAAGTATGAAATTATAATATGGTGCTGCATTTGTTGGGACGGTGTAGGGATTTTAACTGAAGTAGAAGGAAACGTAACAGCTATCAAGTATCAGGAAATGCTGGAAAACAATTTGTGGCCAGTTAAGCTCGCCATTTCTCTAGAGGAGGATATTTCTTCCAAGATACCCCAGTACATCGCGCCAAGTCCACGCAAGAATATATGGCCCAAAACAGAATAGATGGCATGAGTTGGCCCGCTCAGTCTCCTGATCTTAACATAATTGAAATTATTTCGTTATATATCAAAAGGAAGCTCCAATCACGCATGGACGCAATAAAATCAAAATCAAAAGATGATTTGTACAGAGGAATCTGTGACATTTGGACGGAAATCCCGCTTGCCTATATCCGTAGTCTCCATACGAATATTCCAAAGCGTATTTTAAACTTTATACGACTGAAACGACACTTGACAAAGTATCGAAGGTAAATGCAAATTAGTTTTTATGTGAAAAAAAGTTGAATTCAGCAATTTCTTTTGTCTAATATCAACACGCCGCCACTGTGACCAAATACCTTTGGCACGGTACTGTACATGTACCGAAGTTAAGCAACGTGGGGCGTTTTTAGTACTTCAATGGGCAAACGAAGTACACCTGGTGCATGTTTGATTTGGTGGAGGAGAACCAGCCTGATATTCTGTTAAGTGTTCTGGAACAGCAAAGCAAACACCATTTCCCTGAAGATTTGTTGGGGACACGTGTGTCTAGGTAACGGTTCATGAATATGGAGTGACGTCTCCATGTACTGATGTCCACTTTGATCAGCACTTCGAAAATCGACCGCTTGTTGTAATTCCGGCGTACGATACACTTCTAGGTCTCGTCAGGGATTCTAAGAGCCTAGCAAGTGACGAAGAAAAAAATTAAAGATGTCGATATAAATGTCAAAAACCCAAATAGGGAGGTTCACTTCCCCAAAGACTTTTTTTTTTAAAGTCAGTGACATGTATATAATCTAAATCGCGCCATTACAGGAATGGATTGAATCGTTCCCTGCATATTAAATCAGACCTCTTGTTTAGTCTTTGTATCAAAACACAAAATACCGACAGATAAACCATATCATAACAACGACAGATAAACCATATCAAAATACCGACATACAAACCATATAAAAACACCAAAATACCGACATATAAACCATATCAAAACACCAAAATACCAGTAGATAAACCATATCAAAACACCAAAAAACCGACAGATAAACCATATCAAAACACCAAAATACCGAGAGATCAACCATATAAAAATACCGACAGATAAACCATTTCGAAACACCAAAATACCGACAGATAAACCATATCATAACAACGACAGATAAACCATATCAAAATACCGACATATAAACCATATCAAAACACCAAAATACCGACAGATAAACCATATCAAAACACCAAAATACCGACAGATAAACCATATCAAAACACCAAAATACCAGCAGATAAACCATATCAAAACACCAAAATACCGACAGATAAACCATATCAAAACACCAAAATACCGACAGATAAACCATATCAAAATACCGACATACCGACATAAAAACCATATCAAAACACCAAAATGCCGACATATAAACCATATCAAAACATCGAAATACCGACAGATAAACCATAAATACCGACAGATAAACCATATCAAAACACCGACAGATAAACCAATTAAAAACACCAAAATACCGACAGATAAACAAAATCATAACAAAAACAGATAAACCATATCAAAATACCGCCATATAAACCATATCAAAACACCAAAATACCGCCATATAAACCATATGAAAACACCAAAATAAACCATATCAAAAACCATATCAAAACACCATATCAAAATACCGACAAACATCAAAATACCAACATATAAACCATATAAAAACACCAAAATACCGACAGATGAACCATATCAAAACACCAAAATACAGACAGATCAACCAAATCAACACACCGACATATCAACCATATCAAAACACCAAAATACAGACATATCAATGATATCAAAACATCAAAACAACGACATATCAACCATATCAAAATACCGATATAAAAACCATATTAAAACACCGACAGATAAACCATTTCAAAACACCAAAATACCGACAGATAAACCATATCAAAACACCGACATATAAACCATATCAAAACACCGACAGATTAACCATATCTAAACACCAAAATACCGACATATAAACCATATCAAAACATCAAAACACCGACATATAAACCATATCAAAACACCAAAATACCAGCAGATAAACCATATCAAAACACCAAAATACCGACATATAAACCATATCAAAACACCAAAATACCGACAGATAAACCATATCAAAACACCGACAGATAAACCATATAAAAACACCAAAATACCGACATATAAACCATATCAAAATACCATATCAAAATACCGATATGAAACCATATCAAAACATCAAAACACAACATTATCAACCATATCAAAATACCGACATACAAACCATATAAAAACACCAAAATACCGACATATAAACCATATCAAAACACCAAAATACCAACATATAAACCATATCAAAACATCAAAATACCAACATATAAACCATATAAAAACACCAAAATACCGACAGATAAACCATATCAAAACATCAAAACACCGACATATAAACCATATCAAAATACCGACAGATAAACCATATCAAAACACCAAAATACCGAAAGATAAACCATATCAAAACACCAACACATAAACGAAATAAAAACACCAAAATACCGACAGATAATCCATATCAAAACAAAACACCAATACACCGACATATCAACCATATCAAAACACCAAAATAACGACAGATAAACCATATCAAAATACCGATATAAAAACCATATCAAAACATCAAAATACCGACATATCAACCATTTCAAAATACCGACATATAAACCATATCAAAACACCATAATACCGAGAGATCAATCATATAAACATACCGACAGATAAACCATATCAAAACACCAAAATACCGACATATAAACCATATCAAAACACCAAAATACCAGCAGATAAACCATATCAAAACACCAAAATACCGACAGATAAACCATATCAAAACACCAAAATACCGACAGATAAACCATATCAAAACACCAAAATACCGGCAGATCAACCATATCAAAACACCGACATATAAACCATATCAAAACACCAAAATACCGACATATAAACCATATCAAAACACCAAAATACCAGTAGATAAACCATATCAAAACACCAAAATACCGAGAGATCAACCATATAAAAATACCGACAGATAAACCACTTCGAAACACCAAAATACCGGCAGATAAACCATATCAAAACACCGACAGATAAACCATATCAAAACATCAAAACACAATATCAAAACACCAAAATACACAGATAAACCATATCAAAACACAAAATACCGACATATAAACCAACATCAAAACACCATATCATATAACCATATCAAAACACCAAATAAAAAACACCATATAAACAAAAAACACCAAAATACCGACAGATAAACCATAATAAACACCAAAATACAGACAGATAAACCATATCAAAACACCAAAATACCGACATATAAACCATATCAAAACACCATAATACCGAGAGATCAATCATATAAAAATACCGACAGATAAACCATTTCAAAACACCAAAATACCGACTTTTAAACCATATCAAACATCAAAACACCGACTTATAAACCATATCAAATTACCGCCATGTAAACCATATCAAAACACCAAAATACCGACATATAAACCATATCAAAACACCAAAATACCGACATAAAAACCATATCAAAACACCAAAATACCGACATATAGACCAAATCTAAAAATCAAAACACCGACATATAAACCATATCAAATCACCAAAACACCGACAGATAAACCATATCAAAACACCAAAATACCGACTTTTAAACCATATAAAAACACCAAAATACCGACATATCAAAAACTCCAAAATACCGACAGACAAACCATATCAAAACTCCAAAATACCGACAGATAAACCAATACCGACATATAAACCATATCAAAACACCGACAGATAAACCATACCAAAACTCCAAAATACCGACAGATAAACCATATCAAAACACCGACAGATATACCATATAAAAACACCGACAGATAACCATATAAAAACACCAAAATACCGACAGATAAACCATATCAAAACACAAAAATACCGACTTTTAAACCATATCAAAACATCAAAACACCGACATATAAACCATATCAAAATACCGCCATATAAACCATATCAAAACACCAAAATACCAGCAGATAAACCATATCAAAACACCAAAATACCGACAGATAAACCATATCAAAACACCAAAATACCGACAGATAAACCATTTCGAAACACCAAAATACCGGCAGATGAACCATATCAAAACACCGACAGATAAACCATATCAAAACATCAAAACACCGACATATCAACCATATCAAAACACCAAAATACTAGCAGATAAACCATATTAAAACACCAAAATACCGACAGATAAAACCATATCAAAACACCAAAATACCGGCAGATGAACCATATCAAAACATCAAAATACAGACAGATAAACCATATCAAAACACCAAAATACCGACAGATAAACCATATCAAAACACCAAAATACCGACAGATAAACCATAAAAAACACCAAAATAGCGACATATAAACCATATCAAAATATCAAAATACCGACATATCAACCATATCAAAATACCGGTAGATCAATCATATCAAAACACCGACATATAAACCATATCAAAATACCGACACCTAAACCATATCAAAACACCAAAATACCGGCAGATGAACCATATCAAAACCCCAAAATACAGACAGATAAACCATATCAAAACTCCAAAATACCGACAGATAAACCATATCAAAACACCGACAGATATACCATATCAAAACACCAAAATACCGACATATAAACCATATCAAAACATCAAAACACCGACATATAAACCATATCAAAACATCGACAGATAACCATATAAAAACACCAAAATACCGACAGATAAACCATATCAAAACACCAAAATACCGACAGATAAACCATATCAAAACACCAAAATACCGGCAGATGAACCATATCAAAACATCAAAATACAGACAGATAAACCATATCAAAACACCAAAATACCGACAGATAAACCATATCAAAACATCAAAACACCGACAGATCAACCATATCAAAACATCAAAACACCGACCTATCAACCATATCAAAACACCAAAATACTAGCAGATAAACCATATCAAAACACCAAAATACCGACATATAAACCATATCAAAACACCAAAATACCGGCAGATAAACCATATCAAAACACCAAAATACCGACAGATAAACCATAAAACAAAATACCGACATATAAACCAATCAAAACCATAATCAAAACACCA